TCATGATTTCTGACCCAAAATCATGCATCTACCAATACAGTGAAAATTGGTGATTTTGATTGACTCAGCCCAACCTCAAAAAGTTGGCCTTTATACAATAAACAATACTTATTTATTGTTTAAGGATGGTGATATTTCAGTTCTCTTGGTTAGGAGGTTCTAGTGATAAACAGTGACTATCCTCAATTATAACTAGTTGAAGTCCTTGTTATATGAATTAGATTCACATTAATCAAGCCCATCTCATTTTAAACTATAACTTGTCTTTTAATTGAAACAAGAGGTTCTCTAAAATCAATAAATTAGAATAAGAAGTGTGAGTTAGGTGTGCGTCACGAGTTTGGACCCTACTGTAGACAAAAGCTTGGTATTTAAGTGGATAAGGGTAGCAGGGCGAATCCATTATCCATGAGTTCGAAACTCAGCGCCATGGTCCCTCGGGGATTCCTCCATCATTGAGGAAACAAAAAGAGAATGAGAATAGAAAAATTGCCAAAGACCTTTCATGCATTCTCTAAGAGAATGAATGGGCTTAAGATTACTTGTTCGTGGATTTTCTTCTTCAGTTATTAAGCTATGCCAAAAACACATTTAAACAAAATTCAGTATTATCAGTGATTAGTGGATTTTTCTTTGGTGAAATGTGGGTACAATGCCTAATATTTTATTGAACTCTCACTCATCTCTTATGTATTGATGTTGCAGGAGGTGATTGTCGGATGAAACATTTTTAATCGTGTTCATTCAGTGTTGTCAAAGGCTCATTTGTGACGCACTTAAGTCTTGAAGCTCAGGCTAGGTGCTTCGCTTCACTTTGGCTGCGTTTCAGTGTATGCAAGGCGCAAAGCTGTGTGACTCATTGCCCACAAGTTCTATCTTGTAAGAGGGGTACTAAACTATAATGATTTTGATAAGAAAAATATATTAATGATTAAGGAAATGATTATGAATAAAGTTGTTACTTTTTTCTTGCATTACATTTACTTCTTTATTTTTTCTTCATTGCGCCTTTAACTAAAACCCACACTTCAATTGCGCTTTGCGCTTAAAGCCCCTATAGACCTGGAGTGATTTTCGTCTTTGACAAGACTGGTTCGTTTCCTTTTCTCAATAGTTTTCTTAGTAACCACTTTGGTTTAGTGAAGATAGAACAGCTCCTTAAGTGACCTACTTATTGTATGAGAATGGCTTTTAGAGGGAGACTCCTTTCTAGAACCAAAGAACATTAACAATCACCCCTTCAAGGAAGTTTTGACCGGGCCAGCTTGGATCATGATTAGGAAATGTGGAAAGTGGAGACTGTGCTATTCCCGGATTCAGGTTATCTGGGGACCACATATTGAGGAGGAAGGAGTTCCTTAAGAGTTAAGACATATTTGATTGGGAGGTTTGTACGAGTGTGGGATCATCCAGTCAGTAGCCCCTTTAATGTGAAGGGATGTGAAAGCATTGCATGTACCAGGTGACGGTTGGAAGGTGGTCTAAGAGAACATGTTGTAAAAAAAAATGAAGTAGCGAGGGGGCAGTGGTGGTAACATCACCAGTGTACTGACTCATCTATGATGTAATGAATTGCTCAAAAAGGAGGGGAAGTGTGTAAATTTACATTGATGTGGATTGTAACTAACCGAGTTTTGCTAGAGTTAGGCTGTCCCTAAAAGAAGAGGAAAAGGGTGCCAGTGTCTATAACAGTGGAGAGGGGCGACATGAGTTTCGGGGAACACTCTGAAATTTATCCTTGAAACTTTTTTGTTAAATTGGATTTTAACTTACCAGGTTTAGAGTTAGGTTGTCTGTGAAAGAAGAGAAATAGGGTGCCAGTGTCTATAGCACCAGAGAGGGGTGACATGAGTTTCAGGGTGAGATTAACACCAAAAGTTATCCCTGAAACTTGGGAAACGAGGACATGATTGGGGAAATGAGGAGGAGGGAAGAGAAAGGGCAAAAGAGGGACAGGAAAAGCCTATTATGAAGTGGGAAATGTTTCAGAAAATGGTTCTTGCACCTAATTCAGCTCCAAAAATAGCTTAGAAGGTGAAGATTGTTGAATACCTTATAAAGAGAAAACATTACTCATGTGAGATACTTAACACACCTATACACACTGATATGAAGAACATCAGAAGTGTTGACAATATAACATAATGGGTCCTATGTTTGGGCCTAATTCAATCCCTGAAGCTTGGTCTTGAGGCAAGAATTATCTAAGACCTCATAAGTACACCACTTGTCCTTCAACATATGTGCGATACTTAACAAAAAAGATCGGGCAGAAAAATAGTGAAACAAATTGGATTCAGTTTACTGAATTATATGTTCCAGTAAATAACTATCGGATCGAACCAATGTCATTGAGTAGGTGATCAAGATGTCGGAAACTCCATTTTCAAAACTGAAAATGAGTTAGAAGGCGATGATTTAAAAAACCAATAGGCTTGAACTTAAGTCTAGACTCATAATTGGAGTGGGACGGTAAAGGGCTCTTGCTTTCTTCCATCATATATCCAATGAAGCAGATGGCAGGAAAAACAACTTTGGCAATTTCCCATCTAAAGGAGATAGGGTGGGTGGGTGGTCAAAATTCTTAGCTAAGGCTAGAAAGGAAGAGCCAATTACACTAGTCATCTTTCCAATATCAATAAAGGATTTACATCCCTCCGGTACTTCTGGTATCGTCCCAAAAGGCTTAGGAACTAGATGAAATGTTCACGAAGGGGACCAAGGTGGTGCACCAAACTAAACAACAACATACCTAGTGTGGGAACAAAGTGGGATCCGGGATGGATAGAGTGTACGTGAACCTTACCCCTATCTCGTAGAGGTAGAGAGGCTCTTTCCAAAAGACTCTCGGCTCAACTGCAGCAAAACAAAGAAGTAATGAAAAGGAAAAACGATGGTAAAGAAAACATGACAACTAATAGAAAAGTAGTGTAGAACATACATACAAGGAACAGTAACATCAACCAAATAGTGCAATCACCTAAACATGATAAACAACAGATAGATAACAAAAGCAAGAAACTATATATATGAATAAGAAACAAAAAAACTAGGTAAAAGATTGTTTAAACCTTGGCACCAAAAAATGTTGTGTGTGTGTAGCAATCACCAAAGGATGGAGGAGATTGAAAAAAAAAAAATACTTTTAAGTTTGGGAGAGATGGAAAGGAAGATAGAGTCATCGAATTGTTAGCTGACATAGAACAAGTTTAAAAGGATTAGTTGTGATGAAAGAACGACATGGGTGGGGTGAGAAAAGAGACTGGAGCTGGGGCATCAACATAGCCTCTAGATGCTTACTATGCAAAGAGGCACTGGAACCAACAAGCACTTATTTTTGCATGGTAATGTAACAATACAAGTATGGGCCTTATTCTTCAATTTAGGCTAGTGTATGGTAGAACACACGGCAGATTTATTGAGTTGTTGGATCAGAAGGGGGGGAGGGCAGCAAGAGTCAAAAGAAGTGGGTGGACGACAGTACCTGCTTGTATCTAGTGGAATATTTGGAACGAAAGGAATCAGAGGATTTTTTTAAGGAAAAGAATGCTCAATACAAAAGATTAAATGGAAAGTAATTACATCCTTTGGTTTTTGGTGTAAAAGACAAAATATAGAAGAGGAAATCCAATTAGGTAATTACATCCTTAGGTTTTTCATCTTTTTTCCTCTCTTCTCTGTTAATACATTTTGGAGGTGGCCAGCATAGCCCTTAATGCTTACCCGTTTCCAAAAAAAAAGAAGAAAAGAGATTGGAGCAAGAGGAAATATTGTGGTGTATGGTAGAAGGCTCGGCATGAGGGAAAGAGAAGTGTTGAAGAAGGTGAGAGATAAGGGATAGATATATCATATATCGTTTATAGATGTTAAGATCTTTTCTTAGGGTGTGAGATAATGAATTGACCAAATAAAAGGTGGATATAGTGTTTTTAGAAAACTAATTGAGTTTTATAACTAACACAATTGTAAGAAGTGTGTGAGGGAAAAGGTGGATTAAGTATGATTCGATTCCTACAATTTGGAATGCAAGACATCCTATTATTTTGTGATGTGAGGAAGATAGATATAGAGGAGGTAACTACATTGTGTGTTTTTTATTACAACTCGGATTTAAACTCTAGGAAGCAGAGAAGAATGAGGTTTTACTGAAGGATTTTGGTGGAAGACTTTAGACTGTTCGACATAGTCATGCTTGGGAAACTATTATGGAGATTTGGAGAAGGAACAGACTTTTTGGAGAAAGCTGATAGTGGAAAAGTGTGGCACTGTGAAAGTGTGAATGAAAGATGAATTATTGGAAATATCACACTTTCATCGGAGTACGAATTATGGAGGATGATCATGAAGGCATGAGAAGATTTCAATAACTACATTTATTCAGAGTAGGACGAATGCTTGATTTTAGGTTCACAAGTGGTGCTAGGAGAATGCACAGTGACTTGCATGCTATAGCATATGTAGTGTTTTGAGCTAGTAGAGATGACAGTACGATAGATCCTGATTATACAAGATGGTGAGGTCATTGTGACTTGAGGTTTAAGAGGAGTCTACATGTACAGGAGATGTATGATTTCCAAACTTGGTGGAACTACTTTACAAAAACTTATCGCATACTACCGAACTCGTGAAGATGGAGTACGAGAAGAGTTAGTTTGTTCTCAGTTAAATCATACTGCTAGAAACTAGTAGTAAGGGAAGAGTCGGGTTTCTTGAACTTATAGGTTTGGGTCCGCAGGTGTTCCTTCGAATGTGTGCTTATTTGTTTGGTTGGCAGTAAGGAAGTGATAGTGAGAGTTGAGAACTGAGGGAGAGGAGGATCACTTATTCACTTATGTAGGTTGGTGCTTTATGTGCAAATGTTTGAGAGAATATACAAGTCACCTCCTTCGGTACTGTTGGTTTGAATTACTGTGGTCGATGATGCTAGCCGCTAGGGGAAGAGGAAGAGATTATATACAGTTGGAACTTTAGAAGAAGGAAACGACACAGGCATGGGATGTTTCCCCTTTTAGCCTTCATGTGAGTATATAAAATAGAGAAAGAAGAGAACAATTTGAAAGAGTTGACAATGATTTTGTACATTTGAGGAGTAGCCTCTTGTCTGTAGTTACTTTTTCGTGCACCCATAAGGTCCTTGCTTGTATAGAAGATGGGGTTTCTCTTACAAAGAATCATATTTTTATGTAAGTTTTTTATTTTTTTTGGTGTACTGCTTCTTTATGGAAGAAACATTACTTTATCAAAACTAATTTGGTTACCCATGAGTGATACCTTGCCAGGTATATATTTGTTGCAGTAGTTATCTGGAGATCTCATATGATGGAAATCAAGGCAGACAGAAATGATGGATCCTTGGTTTTAGTCAAGCACGGAGCTGAGGCTGTAAGTTATCCAAGGTTCATGTGCCATTTAACTTCCCTGCAAATGTTTTTTCATTTGATTAAGAACTTTCCTGCAAATGTGTTTATATTATCTCTCTCCTATGTCTGTGCGGCAAGTTTATTTCCTTCATGTATTTACTCTGTAAAGATCACAAACCATAATATGCTAGTCTCTCCGCTGATGTTATTTCACATTGGGATTTATCTAATGTTGAGAGTTTTCATGTCAACTTTGTGGTAGGACGTCCATTGTTTACAAAGAAATACAGGCATCTAACTGTGGAATCAAAGCTTACTCGTGAAGACTTAAGTGGGTTGGTGTAAATGATACCAGTTGTATTCTTTAGTCTCTTCATACCTCAAAGTTGTGCTGCTAACAATTTTGAATAACGGAGTAGGAGGCCAGGTGCATACTCAAAGCAATATGCTATTGACGCTGCTATGCATCTCACTTTTGAGTATGTTGAAGGTCCCTCATGAAAATATATTCCTTGGTTTGGTTTACTTGAGATTATTGAAGAAACGATCGCAAATGAACTGATTGGTGATGCTATTGGAAAACTACATAATGGTGGCATTGTCCATGGGATTTGGTGACATCAAACATGTTGATGAGGTTTGCTGCCAACCAGCTGGTGAGCATTATTCTGTTTCTGTATCCTTAATAAGTGTCTCAATTCTCATAATTGTCTTTTTTTTCAACTTTGTTTCCTGTTTTGCATTTTTCTTCTCTTTGAATAGGCTGATGTTCTGCATTCACCTTTTGTAAAATTAGGTACTATCCAAGTTTTTTTTTTTCTGCGGGTACTGATTGACTTTTGACTAAGCATTACTTCAACACTTCCAGATGATAAAGCAGTGGATTTATATGTACTGGAAGTGCTCTTTATTCACTCTTCTTGTTGAAATCTAATGAGCTCAGCTGTATCACCTATGTTATATGTTATTGACATGTTCTAGAATGAACATCTCCTCAAGCGTTTTGTTCTTCTCTGATCTATACTTTTTTTACTGATATGTAATCTCTACAGTAGATCATAATCTGTTTCAGGGAAAGAGAGTGTTAAACTTTTGGTAACGCTTTTCAAATATTTTTTTCCTTTGTTCCAAGTATTAATGTCATTCAAGTCATATTATGTAAGAAACATGCAGTTCTTCCATCTAAGCAGTATTTCTAGTGGTATTAATGGCTTTCTACTTCTCTGGAAGTGCTCTTTTCTGGCATATGCTTCTGATGAGATTTTTTTCTAATAATAGACTAAGCCTCCCTAAGGATTAAGTTGCACTTAATGTGAATCTTTAACTTCTATTTTGCTCGCTCTTGAGAATACAAGTTCTGCTTGGGACGGCATTTCACATTGGTGTATTGTCACTGAGCTATACAATTCTCTGATCTCTTCATTTTTTGCAACCAACATAGATAGCGATTTTACTTTTAGTCTCGACCTGTAACTGTGAGCATATGGGCCAGATAATTGCTGCATACAAGAAATACTGAAAGTAATGGCTGTTGTTGTTCAACAAGCTAGCCCAAGGAGCAGCCTCTGTTCCTATATGCCCCTTTCTGTTAACTACCTCTTTTTCCACAGAAAAAATGAATGGTGTCAAATATCAAATACTATATCTTACTGTGTTTCTGCTTTGGGTTTTGTGATATATCAGCGAGGCTGAGAGATAGAAACCGTAATATGATTTGTTAGCTTCCCAGTTAGAGTTGAACTTTGTTCTTGCTGTGCATCCCTTGCCTTTTTTGTAATATTTTTCAAAAAAATTAAGTTCATATGCCTTTGTCTCCTCTAAAGGGTAAGTGTCTTGCCTATCACTCCAACTTTTCAATTGCAGATGCCTGTATAATCTTATATGACAAATCATCAAAGCCGTCCTCTTAACTATTTTTCTCTTTTGAGGTATACATCAGTTCCTTCTATTAATTTAGAGAGGGATGGTACTATCATGGTTATCTGGCCTGTCCTTTGCTTGTCTCGTGGATCCTAGGACAACTGCATTCTTTAATATTCACCTCTTCTCTTTGCACCTCTTCATTCCCGTTCAAAGTATTATTCAATAGTGTACTTAAAAATATTCTTCAGATGTTCTTAATACAGGGTCATGTTCTCTAAGGCATAGAAGATCTGAGATATCCTTTTCAGAAACAACAGACCACAGTTATGTGCAGAGATTAAAGGAAGTTACATTTCTATGCTGCGGGAATTTATTTTTCCTCTGTTGTGGAGACCGCGACTTAGCAGAATGGTTGGTCACAATTAGAGAGGACAATGTTTTTGTCTATGCCTGTCAACTTTCGCTGTTTGAACTGTTCTTCACACAATTATCCTGTTTATGCATTTTTACAATACATTTGCTTATTAAGAGTACCCTTAATATTTTATGAATAGTTTTCCAATTGCTTTACATTAAATATCAACGTTAGGGGCAGGAGAAACAGAATGCTTGGAGCACTGACAAATATGTTTTGGTTGCTAAGTCGAGGTTTTATTGTGGTTCTAACTCATTTAGAGTTGCCCAGAATTACAAATTTTCTGTTCATACGTGGTGATCGGTGTTCTAAAATTTCTTTTGGTTGGCAGCATATTTACATTTTATGAGCCCAGAAGGCTGTACATTATAAACACAACATTTTTCATGCCATGTGACTGCATGTGAAGCAGTACAATTGAACTACAACTGTGGTCCTTAGAGTGCAATTAAATGCACTGCTATAGTATTTGATTCAACAACAATGACATACGTAGTGTAATTCCACAAGTGGGGTTTGGGGAGAGTAGGATGTATGCGGACCTTAAAGACCTTTGTGGGGGTAGAAAAGTTGTTTCTAGTAGATCCTCAGTTCAAAAGAAGTGTCCTATAGTATTTGATATACTTTCCTATTGTTATTTCTAATTTCCCCTATTAAACGCTTGAACTCTTTTGCAACTCTCTCAAATGTGCTGCTCTGAACATTGTCGGGTTTCTTTGGATTTGATGTTGGAATATACTGGAAATTATTAAAAAAAAAAAAAAAAAAAAAAAGAGGAAGAAAGCCAAAAGAGGTTGGATTTTCTTGTTGTCCTATATTGTTTGATCTCATTTCATTGTTGTTTTGAGTTAGGAGTTAAGCTGTATCTGTTTGATTATTTACTCATTAAAACTTAAGTAAAAACCATATAATAACTTTGATTGAGAGATTTCACTTCTCCATGTCGCTTTTAATCTTTGATATTATTCTTTCCTTGTGAGCTATTTTGACTAGGCTATAAAATTTAAAAAACTACATACGGGTTTTACCTTATGGTACTAGCACTACCTGATCAAGTAAAAAAGAATAGTACATCCTGACTCGATTGTGAGTTTACAAGTTGATGTAATATTCTTGGCACCATTTGTAATATTTCTCTTTGTTTTGTCTCTCTGAATTCTTTGTTTTCATTGATAGGGAAGTCATCACATCACTCTTGGATGTGCATTCACTAGTGCAATGGACAGATACATACACATGTGCCAAGTGGTGATCAAACTTTGAGCATGACGCCAATTCCGGAAGCGCGATACCAGGTCCACATATTTACCCAAATATTGTGAGTACAAGATTCTAAATTTTTTTTTGGAGATGCAGTTAAAGTTGCTAGTGACACTGGTGGTGAATTTAAGTCACACGTTGGGATGAATTCTGATGCAAGAGCTTACACAAAATTAGCCAAACACTCAGTAAGTACTCTTCTGACTTTTTGCCTTTTACAGCAAATACCAGTCAGATGAAAACTTCAATATAATCTGCAGTTTCTTTAGAGTAACGTGTTGCTTTAGGTGGGAATGAGAGTCTTTTGATTTCTGATTGACAGAGCCAGTACTACTGCCAAGTTTGTGCACTTTATCTTGTTTGCTAAGATCATTTACATTGACAAATTTATCGTGTTTGTAGGTTCGATATAAGTGTGATCTCATTATATGTATATATATTTTGAGCTTTTTTTGGTCATGTGTGTACATTGTTTGAGTCGAAAGTAATGGTTCAGTTAAACTCACAGAACCCGCTTTATATATGCCTCTGATCATTGACCAGTATTTCTCATCTTATTGTGTCTGACGGAAAATCTGGAGTACATATTGGAACAATGTGGCATAGTACATTATGTGTGATTGATTTAACTTATTGACTAGTTTATTCATTTGATTCCTATTAAGTTCATTATTATGCAGAAAAATAACTCCACCAACTTACAATGACAAGTTCGATAAAGTTTTTTTTTTTGGAGAGTGAGAGTTTGTACCCCTAAAAACTTGACCAAACGCTTCAACTCTCTAAAATAAACACTAAAAAGGTAAAAATAAATTAATTAATCACCTTTTGACTTTTTAGATACTTGGCCAACATGCTGTAATTTAATTACCTTAGTATCAAACACGAACACTAGTGGTTACCAATGTAATGTTAAGACAAAAGTCATTTTGTGCATAACATAAATGAGGGATCAAATGTTATTGCATAAAAACATCAATTAGATAAGTGACTAATTGTCGATTTCTTATGTAAGACAAGAATGTCCATCTCCATCACGACTTGCTTACAAATTTATACATATATATATGGACATATGAGGATATTATGTCTATTTATGTTCCTTCCAATAAGTAGTCGCAGAGTCATGATTTTCAATAAGAGGGATTCAAAATATAAAGAAGTAAATGCAGGAGATTCAACGTTCAATTACATATACTAAAGAAATATTTTGACAACATATATATAGTGTAAATTTCCTACGAGGGGATCAGATGAACCCCTTGCGCTCATAGCTCCGTCACTTAGTGGGGCAAAGGGAGATTGAGAAGTTAGATGAATGATCAACATCTCAAGTTGGAAGGTTGTGAGTAGTTATTAATTGAAAGGGAGTAAAAATCATAAATGCAACGAAATGGACAGGCATCGTGATTGATTAAGAAATAAAGGCTATATATAAGAATTAAATTGGAAAATAAAGGAAGACAATGATATTCTCATTTGTCCTCCTCTATGAGAATAACTTGAATGAAAAACAAATAAAAGATATATAATTGTTATTGCATATTATCTTTTCATTTATTTGGTTCCTCTTATTAACATGATTTAAATAATATTAAGCTCATGATCATCTCATTTTTGAAAATTTGAAAGTCCGTCTACTCTTCTTTGATAGTAAGATAATAGCTATGAGTAATCATATACTTTCGGAAAAGAGTAGAAGAATAAAACTTACTATGAGACGTACAATGTGTGATAGACCATAAACGTATGGTCATTACGATTCCATCTCCAATATAGTGCCTTTGATTATGAATTGAATCTAGTTATAGTTAACAACTTGCTTATTTATAAATTTGGCAAGCCGGAAAAGAAACGGAAAAAAGAAAAAAAATTTATATTAAAAAATT